GTCTGAATTACAGTCAACATTTTTATAAATGTTGAAAAAAGCCGCACTGTATGAGACAAATTAGTCTATTTATTACATATGTGGAGTTGGAATAGAGTGAATCTGTAACCCATCAGGAGAGGCATTTTCATGATAGAAAGACAGATAAGTGCAGAAGTAGTGTCTCACGTAACTCTTGGCAAGTCTCTGTTTCAGTATTGGTAAAATGAGCTATGTCACTACTTGACTACTAAATATTGTGTCCAAATAATTTTAGGAAATGCTGCTTTTAAACACATCCCCCATCGCCAAATGGGGGAGAAACTGCAAATTTGCAAGCTACTTTTAATTTTTCCTAAAGATGTTTTGATCTATGGTGCAAAAATTCTATAAATGAATGATAAAGTTAATTGAAAGGGAGGCAAAGCAAGGAGATCAGCAGAACTATATATGAAGCTACACTGCTTTTAAACAGGACACAGTTATTTAAAGCACCAATGTAGAGAGATTTAAGGTTTAGAAACAATATGCAAAAACCACACACTCAGTCCAAACACTGTTAAGAGTCTCAGTTACAGTCCATACCTAATTGTAAATTTAAATTTCTGGCACTATTTCTTGCTCAAGCTCCGCCCACCCCACCTGTTTTTTTCTCTTTCTAGATTTATGGCATAAACCATGGTGGATCTGTGCTGGAAGCTGTCCGTCTGCTTTTTTTGCTGTCAAGTTGTCTCAGGAAGAGCTAAGAGGGAGGGGCATTATGTTGCTGCCGTGTACGAGCACCAGTCCATACTGAGTCCTAACCCAACAGCCCTGGTTGATCGACAGTCTGCGCTGGAACTCATGGGCAGGAACCTAGACATCTATGAAGAGCAAGTAGCGGCTGCTGCAAGGCAGGTATGCCGCAGCTTAGTGGCAGTTGCGTGTGTCCTATGTATATATAGAGTAAGAGCTATTTGAGGATAATCTTTCACATTTGTGTTCCCAGGCAACTAAAGCCATATTTATATACATAAGTATGGTCTGGTTTTTCAGACATTCTGACCTGCCAGCAGCTCTGAAAAAAATAAGGCCAATTAGCAGCTTGCCTAACTTGAGTTATTCTGAGCTTGGAAAAACACGCCTATAGTTATTTAGTATAGGGAAATTAATTTTATATTTTGGGCTGAATACCTAGCGCCTTTCTGTTTTCTTAAATGGAATGTTTTTATTGAAAGATTGTCTTACAGGCAGCTGTCTTTGGGTTTGATTTTATTCCAGTGCTCTCAATGGAAATTCCTGAATGTTTCTAAAATCTAAGGAAGTTAAATACTTTGGAAATGAATATTCCACCATTAACAACTTTGTGGAAGTAAAGTTTTCCATTCCTTTCCCCTACCCTTCATGGAATGGTTTTCAGTCTAAATATAATTAGAGGAGAGAGACTAGTATTTCTGGCTGTTCTTACGCACAGCCTTCTTTCCTTCCCTCCTCAAGAAAACCCAAAGCTGGTTCTAGTCAGAGGAAGCAGGTATAACTGTCCCTACGCAGAGAAGTATTGACTTGCAAGTTTCACAAATCTGTTGTTTTGGAATAGAAGAATTACAATTTTTATATAATTTGAAAAAGTGGTTGTTTGTTTTGGTTTTTTTTTTTCTTTTGAGAATGATGACTAGGCATCACAGTCCAGAAGCATAATAGCTATTTTTATGCAGTACTGCACCCAAGACACATAAATTATCCCAAAGCCATAGCACAGATATTCAAACACATTTGAACTGACTTTTGAACCGTCACAGGAATCTGAGTGACTGATGCTGTGTCTGATTTAAGAGGAATCCACCACATTTTTAGGAACAGATCTCCCTGAACTTCAGGTAGAGGTGCCTAGCTTTGGCATGGCTACATTTCTACCAGAATCTGCATTGCTTCCACAGTCAAGCTGTTTCTGAAAACAATACTCCCAGTACCCTATCCAACCCTATATACCTAATCAAGGGGTATAGCCTGGACTAAGTGACACTGCACCTTTGACACAGTTACTGTACCTTTGACACCGATACAGTACCTTTGACAGAGTTCATCTGCAAATGGCATAATTCTGAAAAAAAAATTAAGACAAATTTTAACGTCAATCTTTAACCAGAATGATGAATGTAGAATACTTCCGGTAGGGATTTGGTTGAAGTCTGCTCTTATTTGCATGCCCTTAACATCATGTCAAATAGGTTATTTATCAAGGTAAAGGTATGCGTCAGGTTAAATAAGCTTTTTTAATACACATAGTTGTGCCTACTATGAAGTCAAAAGATATTTTCAAACTACATTCATGTCAAAACATACTTGGGCTATCCTTAACTTTCTTTAGCTCTCACCCATGAGATTCCTTTTTTCCCCGCTTTGTATTTAGATTGGGTTTGCTTTGCCTACAAAACATGCCTTTGTTTTACGTACAGGGAGCACAGATCATTGTTTTTCCTGAAGATGGAATCCATGGCTTCAACTTCACCAGAAGCTCCATTTATCCTTACTTGGATTTTGTTCCGCATTCACATTCTGTGAAGTGGAATCCATGCAGAGAGACGCATTTGTTCAATGACACAGAGGTAAATGTAGGAGTGATATCTACAGAGTAGCGGAATAACTGAATGCTGGATTTGTGCTCCAAGTGGGGAACTATCTCTAGTAGTTTTGCTTAGAGAAGTAAGCAAGAAATTTAACAGCTCGTAGTACCAGATTCTGTTTTTCTGAACTCTCGGTTTATGCTGGTTTCATTCTTAGCAGAGGAGGGTTTTAGGTACATACATGGAAGATTAGCTTGTTTATGAGTCATATGCATTTGTTATCTCCTCCTCTCCAACCTATGAAATGGTAATTATTCTCTAATAAGATACATTGTGTGTGATTTCATTTTGAACAACATTGTTTTATATAAAACAACATAGCAGTATCTTCACTTTTGATGCATTCTTGTTACTAGGTTTTAATGACTTAATTACATCAGAACATTCTGACTCAGTGATTGTGTGTAAAATGATAAGCACAAGTAACAGGACGTGACCTGCTATAATGTAATAGAAGTCACAGCTTAGCACAGACAAAGTGTGATTTCAGAAGATGTGACCTGCAAGTTACAAAACAGTATTTTCATCAACTCTTCTGAACCCGAAATGAAAATAACTATGCTTAGTAATACAAACTATTTATTCCTATTAAGGTTACAGTAGTCAGTATAATGAAAGTAAGTAATCATGTATGTGCCTACTAAGCAGAATTTGTGTGCAAACCTTAATTGCAGCTGTAAATGATGCTTTGGCTGGTGGAGCTTTACTACCAATGCTCATGCACAAGCAAGCAAGAACTTGGTTTGCCATTCAGATCCTATTTAGAGATTGCAGTACTAGAAGTCTTTGGTACAGCTCTCTGTGGCGTGGAAGAAACATCCCAGTAATAATGTAGTCTGTAACTTTTTGTATTTCTTGTCTACAACTAAGCAAAATCTATCCATTTACATTTCTGCTTCTCTAACTCCTAGCTAGTAATCACTTTCTTTTAAATTTAGAGTAAAAACATCTAGTTGCAGGAACAAGCCATTGCAGGTGCAAATGATCATTAGTAGGCACACACAGATCAGTTATGCTGCCTTGTCAAAGCTTTCAGTTGACCTATGGTGTTCTAAAGCCATTGGTGCTCCTGCAACAGCCTGAACGTTCTGAAAATTAATGGCCTTGAAATAGAGAGGTTATTTATTTACTTACTTCTCAGGAAATAAAACCCAGATAATTTTTTCAAAGCTATTTTGAAATTAGTATCTGAAATACTTTTCAGTCTAGAAAACTACTGGTTCCAATAGCTTACATCACAAAATCATCAGTACATTTAAATTTTACAGTTAAGGTCAGATGTGTTCAATTTCTATTTGAAAATAATTTGAAAAGTATTAAATACGCCGTAGCTGCTTAAGGAAAACTTATCCCTCCATATTCTGAAGTGCTTACATTTCCCCATACTGTTCCCCAGGTTCTTCAGCATCTGAGCTGCATGGCGCTGAAGAACAAAATATTCCTTGTGGCAAACTTAGGAACCAAGCAACCCTGTGAGCACATTGATCCTCACTGTCCATCGGATGGAAGATACCAGTTCAATACCAATGTGGCATTCAGTGATGACGGTATGCTGGTAGCCATGTATCGCAAACACAATCTGTATTTTGAATATGCTTTCGATACCCCTCCGGAGCCTGACTATAAACTCTTTGACACCCCTTTTGCTGGCAAGTTTGGTATGTTCACTTGCTTTGATATACTCTTTTTTGAGCCTGCAGTGAACCTTATCAGACAATACAATTTGAAACAAGTTGTATATCCGACTGCCTGGATGAACCAGCTCCCGCTCCTGTCTGCTGTAGAATTTCAACAAGCTTTTGCAACAGCTTTCAACATCAATATTCTAGCAGCTAATATCCATCACCCTACCTTGGGCATGACAGGGAGCGGCATATACACTCCAGTCAAGTCATTCATCTACCACAACATGGAAAGTTATGGTGGCAAGCTCATAGTAGCAGAAATTCCTGTGATTACCACAGATTACAAAACCAATTTGGAGAGTAATGAAAGATTCAGAGACAACTTACATCACTCATGCAAGACTTTTACAAGCGCGCCAATGGATGATCAAGTTTGCTTTAAGGAGGGACAAGAGACCCCTGGCACAGTATCAGAAAAAGGAAATGAACAGTTACCTCCCGTATTTTATGCAGAAATGATGTATGACAACTTTACTTTCGTTCCTGTATGGGGGGGAAAAGGAGAGCTCCAGGTTTGTGCCAATACCCTTTGTTGTTACTTAAGTTATCAGAGAGCTGTTTTAACCGATGAACTATATGCTTTGGGAGTTTTTGATGGGCTCCATACAGTGCATGGCACATACTATGTCCAGGCCTGTGCATTAGTAAAGTGTGGTGGTCTCAGCTTTAGCACTTGTGGACAGGAGGTTACAGATGCCACTGCTCTGATAGATTTCCAGCTGTGGGGAAATATGAGTACCCCTTATATCTTTCCTTTACTGCTGACATCTGGTATTACCTTGGACTTTGCTGATCACATGGGCTGGAAAAACAACCACTATTTCATAAGCAAAAATAGAACATCTTCTGGCCTACTGACAGCTGCTCTATATGGACGATGGTATGAAAAGGACTAGCACAGATACTTGGCTGAATCAGAAAACAACTGCCCGTATTTTCAGAGTATATATCTTAACACAAGTTGTTGAATATCTGTACTGCCTAGAGCTTCAGGTATGTTTGTTACATGACTGACTGATTAGATTCCACATTTGAAATGATAAGCGAAGCACTTAACCTAAGAGTCTGTAAGTATGGTTTGTACCTTGGTAGCTTATGTCCTCCCAGAAGTAAAAGAATGCCTTGCAAAGATAAAGGCTTGTTGTAATGTGTTGAGATGTTTTGTATTGGGAAAATAGTATTTCTCATTTCAACTGAATTTGTTCCTTTTAATTTAATCCTTTGGTTTTATGGGGTCCTGGCTAGGAGTATGGAAATGAATGGAATGGAAAACCATTGCAAAAGGAAGAAAAATAGGGAAGGGAACAGAGACACAAATACCATGCATGATGTGCATGAAAATGTATCTGTATACATACATATAGCTTGTATATGGTGAGGTTCTGATTTCTGGTTAGGTTGCCATGTTTTTTTTTCTCTCCCTTAAAAGTCAAAAACTCTTAAGTCAAAAAGCTGAAATCATTACCATTTACTGGCCACTCAGTCATCTGTAATCCCGTTTGAAAACTCAGCGAGTTTTCTCATATGCTTTTAACGGTAACTGAATGTTACAGTTGTGATCATCTATGGAACAGCTCGTCTGGGGAAGAGGACGTCAAATGATTGTGAAAAACTAGACTGTATTAAGACATAGTTTCCAGCCTACTGTGCAAGGAATTGTGTTTAAAGAAAATGAATATCAATGACTATGTTATGTACTCTTTAAGTACTTTAGCTTTCCCTGTTTAAAAGAGAGGTAATTTCAAGACTCTTTTGACTTTAAGACATCTTACGCATTGTTCATAAATTCATTCAACAAGAGCTATGAAAAGCACATAATGAATTGTGGGACAGCAAGGTTTTCAGATAAATACTTCGTGTGCCAGATGGCAGGTTCCTGCTGCTAAATGAGTAAAACACACCATTGTTTCCAGAGCAATAACTAGATTAAGTACTATAAATATTGTACCGCAGTGACAAACTGTTCTACTGCAGTGAAGAAGTTGGGAAGAAAATATTCAAAGGATATTAATTTGGGGTTAAATTCAGATAAGATAATTTATTCTCAAGCATTATAATTGTGTGGTCTTATTGGTTGTTATGTATTCATCTGCATAATAGCTGTTGAGTAACAGAATAAACACAACTGTTCCTTTGGTGAGTCCTTGCATTCCAGTTGCTTAGTCTGTTAGTTACGTTCCAGTGGCCAGGAGGAGCAGTGAGGAGCAGAGCGCTAACTGGAGAGCTGCAAGTCTCAGTTTCGGTTGTTCGAGTCAGTTCGGAGACGTGTACAAACTCAAACCACTATGGCAGCTACAAGTATGCGCACTGAAAGGTGCTCAATAAGCTCCTGCTTTGAATGAACTCACTTTCTGGTTTCAGAAAGCAAAACAACCAAGAAATTGCTGAATTTCTACCTGAAGGTTTGTTTCTTGATATTGTCAATATTTAAGATAAATATTTACACAAAATAAGTATATATGTATTTATGATCTTGGGCTCCATCAAACCTTCCTTCTCCAAGCTGTATGACTGTGAGCCAGGACCTAGTCACGCTCAGTTTTGATACAGCAGCACAACAGGTTTATTTATCCTGCAGCATATATTGGACAGAAGTATGGAGAGGGGAAAGTGTATCTTGTTAGACATAAACTTGCTGATGCGAAAGTAGGCCATCCCACCCCAGGGTTATTAAAAATCATTAATTCTTTGGCACCCATAGTGGTGTTCTTGCTGAATGCTACAGAAATTCCAGAACATAGAGGGTAAAACAGAAAAAGCATTTGTGGTGCTTATTGTGCTTCTGGTTCTAGTACTGCAACGACCAAGTGTAAAAGAAAGGAGCAATGAACGGCTGGAGAGTTGTGGCTCTCAGGACAAGCCTCCCCACCTCACTTTGTAAGCTGAAAACCTTGCATCTTCTTGCACTAAATGCTGTTTCAGATTTAGTTCCAAAGCAGACTTATTATCACAATAAATTAGGCTAAACAAGTAAATAGCATTACATGTATTTGCTGTGCTTAAGGGAAAAAATGCATTTGCAAAGCGTGTTCCACAGAGCTATTCTAACTTTGGATATGTCAAAATTATTAGAAAAAGAAGCCATTCTGGCCCTACCGTTTTGCTCTGTCTCTTTCCTGAGGAGAGCAGGCGTAAGTATTAGAGTGTGTTGTCATACCTTGTTCCCTTCACCCAAAAAAGCAGCCTTTAGCAAAGAGACACCAGAAGAAGCAGAACAGGCAGTACTGGACACCATGCAGAATCACCAGTAAGTAACTTCCCCCTGCGCCATCCCAATCTTTGAATGACAACAGATGTATCCGTTCTGAGACGGGGTGACCAGGCAGTAACCTACGACACTCACCACCACTAATCAGCGGGTTTTGGAAGTCTGTGCTGGAAAAGCAATCCCAGCACTGCCCAGCTGAATGTGGCACCGCTCCCAAACAACCCGGTGCTTGTGTGAGTGAAGCTACGTACCATTTACTGAGGAGGTGTGAGAAGCCTTCAGCAAGGCTGATGTTCGTACAGGCAGACTTGTGGACACAAACAGTTTTATTAAAGCTTCCTGAATGGTTTCCATCTGTGAGCACAACCAGAAACAAACCAGAACACGAGGATCTTTTGACATACAGGAAGTACAACTTAAGCCTAGAACAGCTTTAACTCACTCGGTCTGTTGACTTAAATTAAATCAGGATTTGGAAATTTGTACCAAGACAAAGGAACATCCCTGAGCAGGGGATGATGTCTTTAAAGGGTCAAGACACTACCCTTGGGAAGGGAAAGACAACCAGAGAAACTGTCTGTCCAGGTAGGGGTAACAGCCGGCGAGTCAGAGGTGCTGGGGGTTTCTTCATAAGGGATCTGCTGCTTTGAGATTCACGTGACCAGTGAGTTTTCCAGGTGGATGTGGGGATACTCTGATTACAGTGAGAGAAACCACCAGAAAGCACACCAAAGGAACATTTGGCAAACAGGACATTGGAGTTACGTTACTGAGAGGCATGTGAACAGGCTGAGGAACTGGGAACAGACTGGGACAACCTCTTCAGATCAGAGATCTTCACAATGCACAGGTGGGTGTAATCTCATTCAGGCAGATCTCTACAGGTGAAATGAACCAGTCTGAAGCAACTGAGCTTCAAGAGCTTCCTGCAATCAACACTGAAGTAAGGAAGTCATTGTCATGAGGCACAGCAGGGTCTTGTCCAGGCTGTGACCTGTCTTGCAGCATCAGGTATTTAACAAACACCTCAGTGTCACAGAAAAGCCAAGAGGACCAACACAAAAAATTTACTGCCCTGTCTGGCTGCTTCATACATACCATCTAAAGTGCATAAAAGAGCCAAGTGAAGAAAACTACATTTTCAGAACTGCTATAGAAAGAGGACCTGAACAATGCCTCAACACTACTGACACACATGCAGATTCAGTGGCTAGAAAGAACTACCCCTTTCTCCTCCATCTACGTAGGTTAAAAAAAAAGTGGTGACAAATGCCATTCCTGAAAACCCCAAGTTGGAGTGAGTTATTGCTCAATCAAGTTTTTAATGGTCAACGGCAACGGAAGTACTTCAGAGATTCACAGTGCTCTCCTTCCTCCCTCCACTGGGAGAGCAGGCATAGGCAACGTGGGGCAGAAGTCAGAGATGATAGTTGGTGGTACCCACAGCAGATCCAACAAACTCATGGTAGAAGAGATTAGAAAGGCTGAATTCAGTAAGATGTTAATAGATTCTAAGAAAGATTTTTAAGAAAACCATGCAGACAGCTTGAATAACGGTAAGTTTGCCAAGGGATAGCAAATATATGACAGGATAGGATGTGAATCTTTAGATTTTGCTTTAAAACTATTTGACTATTTATTATTTAAAACTATTTATTTAACATAAAAGAACATCTGAGACCTCAGTGTCTTTAAGCTTTGTGAACTAAGTCAACTCTGAGGTACAATGAGAAGAAAACCTGCACGTCTGTCATTTGACAAGGCTTGGAAGCGGGGGTTTGTTTTGTTGTGAATCCGATTAGCAAAATTTCTGGTTGCTTCTATTTCAATTTTAATGAAAAAACAGAACACAAGGTGCTTTCCTCCTCTTTAAATATTTAGTGACACTAAGAATATTAAGACAACTTGAAAGGCTCTTTAGGTTCCATATTATTCAACTGTGTTTACAATTACATGGTGAAATACTGCAAGATTCCTTTCCCAACCTCGGCTTGAAAATTGCTAAAACATAGCACGGAATGGAGAGAGCTCAATTTATCCTAATGTAAAATAACACACAGCACCAGGGAGGCGTGGATAATTTAGATGCTGCTTTATTTGAAGACAAATAACAGTACTAAAGAGACTGGGATACTGGGTTGGAAAGAGTTGCAAGAAATCTTCAGGTCCCGAAGTAGGAACATTCATCATCTTCCCGTCAGGAACGTTCAGTTGCGAGATGAGTTGTAGAGACCGGAAAAAGCCCACAGCTTGAAAATTTTAGTCACATCTGTAACTATTTTTCCCCCAGGGAAAGGAAACCAAAGCACTCTTGTGATTTTCCTGGGCTGTAGATGCCTGAACAACTGAAAGAAACCCTCTTTCCGAGGCTGCCATTTCAGTTTTTTCTCAGTAGGTACGTGAGGGTACACGGATCAGACTAGAGGCCTGGGTGACATTTACAACGTCCAGCCAGGTGTTTGCTTCTCCTGTTAAGCAGTAAAATGAAGGGATTTTTGTGATAAGGTTTATAGATCATGATAAATACAATAATAGGATATTTTCTTAAGAATGACCAGTTGTTTTGCCATTTCAAATTAATGCACCGTGGTTCCTTTGCACTTAACGTTCTTCAAAACATATGGATATTATAGTGAGAAAAGGACTCGAGAAAAAGAAAAAAAGCCAATGCCATCAGCGTAACAGAGAGGCCTATATTGCATCTCCTCACATTTAACATCTCAGGTTTCAGTCTATAAAGGAGACCCATGTTTCATAAATTACTATCTTGACCCATTTAAAGTCACAGCTACAGATTTATAAAAAAAGGGGTTCAATCCTAATCTGAAAGAATTCTTCTCCAGCTGTCCCATCAGCTTCTGCAGCATATGAAAGGATTATATGGAAGTCATCACAAATCACTGAGAGATTACAACAAGAGGCAATAATTACCAGTCAATCTTGGACTCAAGGATTTATATGAATACGCTGGACCAACTTCAAGAATTTAAATACTTACTTTCTCCTGATATTAAAATGGATTTTGCTGAGTTTAAATCAGACCTATGGAAGTGGTCTTAGCAGTTTAAACTATTTAAGAGATTATAAAGGCCTTTCTCTCTAAGGTTATTAGGATTGGAATCCAGCCAGGACTGGATATCAGGAATCACTGTTACCAGAAATCAATGCTTTTTTTAACCAAAAGCACGATGGCATTTCTTTTGGGAAGTGGATACGTACCATCAGCAGAGCCACAGAGCAGGCAAAGTGGTGGGAGATGAGGAGGGTGCTGCTGCCGGCTCCTCCTGCTGCTCCTACAGCTGCCGCTGGGGAAGCCCCCAGACCTCCCTCACCCACCCTGTGGTACACTGAGCCAAAGAGCACCTCCTCCAGTGCTCCAGAACTGCTGTTTCCATAAATACTTACCCTTTTTATTTAGGTTTCAGTTTTTAAGATGTGAACCTCACTGATCCAAACCTGGAATTAAGTAGTATGGGCTCCCCGGACACATCTAGCACTGTTAAAAATGTTCCATAATTATGCACATGAAAAAACTTCTCACAAGTATAGGCTAGACAACAGTCTTTTGTACAGTATTTGCTGTTGCTTACAATCTTTCTACAAGCTTATCCTCTCACCCAGTTACTGCATGATTACCAGAAAGGTCACCACTTCTTTATTAAAAAAAAAAAAAAAAAGCTGAGCAATCAGAACAACACTTGTGTTATCTCAAACCAACTGGATTTAATGAACATTCTCTCTCTTTCTTTTTTGGTAAACTAGAATATAAATAGAGTATGTTATTCTAGATTACTACAGTAGTTGTTGCCTTTAAACATACATAATCTCTGGGCAAGACAGGAAGGCTAATTCCTCTCAACCAGAATTATTGGGTTGAAGAATCTGTAAACATTATCTCATGCTCCTTTTTAGTGATATTCTATGCAGCTTAGGTAACAGCTTTGGGATTTTCAGTGCCCTTTGTGTAGATGTTAAAAGGAGCAAAACTTTGAAGTCATTAATTTGTAAATATTAACATTTTTTAACCAAACATTTATTAATTTTTTAGCCTGGTAGAAAAGTCCGATTTTTAAACCAGAAAAAAAACCCCATGACAACCAAGATCCAAGTTTATAAAGTGCATACTTCTAGCTCTGATTGTTCCTAATAAATTTATATGATTATTTTGGAGATATCTAGGGGTGGGGAAGCAATAAAGAGTAATAGGAGGAAATACAAGGCAGGAGACACAGAGAGGTCAAGATTTTGTGAGAAATTACAAGAAAAATCTGTTTGATTACAGTGGGGTCACTTGGCGGGGGGGGGGGGGGGGGGCCCGCTCTCCTTC